GACTGTTATTTTAGTCTATACAACCATTAACCATGCTCTTTCTTGCAGCTGTTTTAATTGAGTTTTTTTCGGTTGCTCGTTTGAATGAATAAGTAGAGGGAAGATTAAGATGTTGAAAGTAGTGTCAACGTGAACATAAAGAAATCAGGTAAACTGAGGTTGCAAAGAAATTGAGATGGATGGGCACAACTTTTTTCCGCATTCGGTCATGCATCTCAGTGTCTCTAGTCATCGTTTTCTCCGATCCCAAGGTCCCCATCGAGGAGGCCTAATGCGACTTATGTGTACAGATCTCCTGGTCAGTGTTTCCATGCCTTCATACCAGGTCTTATTTTGACCACCTGGCAAACATCGCACGCCAAGGCAATCTATTTCTTGACATGCGTAACATGCAATTTATGGTGATCGACCACTTNACTTGCTCCAGCGGGCAGCCGCAGTTGCCTAAACTGCTGAACTCAACTTCTACATTGCTTGTGCGGTTACATAACCAGATTCCGCTCAAAGCCCCATCTCACATGGTCAGCTGATTGGACACCTAGCTTTCTGTGATGACACGCTATCGCCCCCGACGAGGTCACTTCACTAGATGGACATAGGAGCGAGGTACTTGGGGCTTCTTCCCGACGGTGGTAGAAGTTCTTGCACTTTATTGGACAGTTAACGCCCATCCACTCTGGGCGGCTCTCAACCAATAAGGTGCCACCTCGTCAACGTTCTGTCTGTCTCATGGAGTGCATTAAACTACTGTTCGGTCCCGAGCAGCGGACCGTCAGTCAACACACTGAAAAAACCATGGGCCTTACGTGACAGGTCTCTATAGAAGTTCCCGCACCGGTGCTTCGGTCACACTCCCGCGTTGGATCTACGTTCCATTGCCTTGAGTATCAGACTTTTGAGTCGAAGTCTCCAGTCGGGGTTATCGAAGAAAAAACCCTTCGTTGGTGTGGACTGCAGCGAAATATGTCGTGCCCCAAAGTCTCAGACACTCATTTGGTAAACACCCTTCTCTTCTTTATATGAGGCTCTTGGAGGTAGTTGTTTATGAGTGAATTAATAAGACTTTATGAATGAGCTTCAGCCAACCGATTAAAAATAGATCAGTGTTCTTACAAACTACCTCTGAACCCCCGGCTGTTCATCAGAATTCGGGACTTGACCTCCGTGGATAGCCTTCCCTGGACCTCATAGCAAGCACAGAAAGCCTCGCGCACATTGTCTGTGTGATAACTCCCAGTCAGATGGTAGGTAACTGCTGTGGCCTCGGTTTATCCAGTCACATCGCTAGGAATGTCTCCTGAGTGTTTGTAACCAGTCACCTAAGCAACAAAACAAACTTCCTTGGTAACCTGTGTTCCAATCGGGAATATTTTTGCATTTATTCAGTACGCACTCTGAATAAATAGATATAATAATAATAATAAATAATAAATATGAACTTCCATTGGATGCTAAGAAGTCACAACTGTAGTCAGCTGTTTCGATCAATGGTGCGTTTGTAAACAAAGATCCCACGTCGAAAGACATCATGGATTTGTTGAGAACATTAAGGTTTTCTATCCTCTCCATAAAACTAAACATACCCTTCAGACTATATTTGACGTACCGGTTCCGGAAGTTCCGCGGACCATTGGGCGGCAACGCGATATGGAAATGACATCAATTGTAGGTCGTATCGGGACATTTCGTTTATGTATCCTAGGTAATCCATAGGGCCGCAGCAATGAGAATCCAATCGGTACAAGCTTTTTGAAAACAACATTTAATATTTGACCTTCTCTTTTGAGTTCTTTCAAAATGGACGTTAATATCGATTACGTTTGTTGTGTCATTGTCTTTCTCACGTGCTCTGCCGGAAAATTTGGTGAAGTCCCTGAGAATGATC